AGAGGGAGGAGTAGGGAGGAGTAGGGAGGAGAGGAGGGAAGGGAGGGAGGGAGGAGAGGAGAGGGGGAGGGAAGGGAGGAGTAGGGAGGAGGAGGGAGAGGAGTAGGGAGGAGAAGGGAGAGGAGGGAGGGAGAGTGGGAGATAGGGAGGGAGAGGGAGGAAGTAGGGAGAGTGGAGGAGAGGGAGAGAAGGGGAGGGAAGAGGAGAGAAGGGGTGTAGGAGGTAGGAGTAGGAGAAGGAGGTAGGGAGAGTAAGGAGGAGTAGGGAGAAGAAGGGAGTGGGAGGGAGGAGAGAGGGAGGAGAAGGGAGAGAAGGGAGTGTGTAGGGAGGAGTAGGGGAGAAGGAGAAGGGAGGAGTAGGGAGGAGAATGGAGGAGGGTAGGGAGAAGGAGGAGTGGGAGAGAGAGTAGGAGAGGAGAGGGAGGAGTAGGGAGGAGAAGGGAGAGAAAGGGAGGGTAGGGAGGAATAAGGAGAGAGGGAGAGGGAGGAGTAGGAGGAGTTGGAGGAGAAGGGAGGAAGGGAGGAGTAGGGAGAGAGAGTGGAGAGGAGAGGGAGGATGGGAGGAGTAAGGAAGTAGGAGGATAGGAGGAGAAGGGAGAGTAGGGGGAGTAGGGAGTAGTAGGATAGGAGAAGGGAGAAGGGAGGAGAAGGGAGGAGTAGGAAGGAGTAGGGAGAAGGGAGGAGTAGGGAGGAATAGGGAGAAGGGAGGAGTAGTCAAGAGGAGTAGTCAAAAGGCTTTAGGCCTCTGTTCTACTGAAATAAGCTCAGTGTTAAAACAAGGATGCTCTTCCCTGAGGGCGCCGGGAGACACTGTGATCAAGCATGGCACATGGGAGGTTAGGAACATCAATGCCACTCTCATATATAATGCAGCATGTGGTGTAATAGTGTTTGTAACCCCTCTTTAAGAACCACTCAGTGTAATGTCAGCTGAATGAGAAATGAAAGCAGATCGAAATGAGAGCAAAGTGTTGAATAGAACATTTTTACAAAAACATATATTCCCAAAAGATGTCAGATGAAATATTAACTCCTCAAGGAATGATTTTCCTTTCTTTGAAGTTGATTAGAGGTAGCCTAGTAACATGATTTCTTTCTAACAATGATCTAGTCCTGGCGTTGTGGTGTATCCCAGCCTTCATATCCTTTAGAAGCTGAAGGCTTGAAGTGTGCTGTGCCTGGATTATAATGACTGTTGATCAGACACTGATGTAAGTTTTCCATTTGCATCATAAACATTCAGCCTATATAAACACTTAAGAGAACAATGGTGCTACTTGTGAAATGTCACTGTTAATACACTGTTACACAGGTATAAGAACAACTAACGGAATTCTAAATTTCCAAATGTCCAGACATGCTATTCCATATGAGCTTTTGTCATACATGCTCCTCGTCCTGACATTTCAATCAAGCCAGCCAGTCTGCTATCTGTTCTCTGTGAGAATGAAGGTGAAAAGTGCTATTGGCCATCAACAGACAGGAGTTATTGCAGGTTCGGCTTGATGGTAATGTTATGTTCATACCAAGGTGAAAGCAGATGCTCTTGATATAAAGGGAGGCTCAGTAAATGTGTTATTGGGATGGCAGCTTAAAATGCGTGACAACATTTGTGTTTTCGTTATTGCCTGTGATTATACTCAGCTTTTGTTCCTCTATGATATGTGGTGAGGAGTGGAGCATTTCAGTGGAATATAAGTCCTCCACTGTATAGACTAGACTCTCTCTAGTCATCCCTCTTCATTGCAACTTGATGAGAAAAGTTATCTTTTTAAACTCTCTCCCGCTACATCATTGAGACAAAACCTGATTCTGTGCATAATTGGAGCATATTTCAAATCTTCTCTTGTATCATCTCCAGCCTGAGACATAAAAAGAAAGCTTTGGATGAAAGGGATATTCATCTTATGACTATAGTCTCTGAAAGAAAATAAATGAAAGGGAAATGTATCTGGCTAAAATCAAAACCCAAGCTTTTACAACTCTTTTTAGAACACGCTTTTAAGCATGCTTTTGGGTGCACAATGAAATTGAAATGGCTTTCTTTGTTCAGAAATAGACACTTATTGATTTCTGTCCAATGCTTGTCAATAGCATCCCAAAGCTGCCGATGCTTACTGAGTGTCCTGTCTGAGGGTTTTGTCAGAGGGGTATACCCAAATGTGTACTATGTAAAGTACAATTAGTATATTTTTGTATATTGTTTCTAGAAGCCAGTTTTCTAGGGTTCATGATCATCAACTTTGAACAGAATTGCTTTATGCCTCAGTGGGTTTTTGATCATTCCAGGTAGCAGGGGGTCGGCTGGGACAACCAATTCACATTCAATTCCCAGGTAAACGACCAGTTTCAATAAAACTAACAGTATTGTTCTCTGGTCATCTTCCTTAGCAGGTACTCTACTCACTTTTTCACTACTAGTCATTACATGGTATAGCTTAAAATGGCAATGTGCCATAGTAGTGCTAAACTAATTTCATGACTTGTCAACGTGCTCCCAGCTCCCACAATGCCTCCTCACTTCCACCCGTCCAGCGGTAGGCGGCCCGATGGACGGATTGTGAGCCTCCACGCTGTCAGTTCTCATTACGGTCAAGTCAGGAGGATGACCAGTAAGTGCATCCAGGGCGGAAATGTGTGCTAAAACACCCTGCTCTTGAAGAGTAAATGGAGATAGCCGTTGTTGTAGCCCCGAGCCTGTGATCCTCATCCTCCTCTTTGTCGCTTCTAATTGAGAGGCGTCCTAATTGAGGCCTGACAACAGGCCTTGATGAAACCCAACAGTGGGCCCACTGCAATTGCAGAGAACTAGGGCCTGAGGGAAACTTCCTATGACTATCGAGTATCTATACAACTTCAACAAATGCAGCCCATAGTCTCATTGCCCCTGATGCCTGAGGTGGAGTGCAGGCAGTGGTGTAAAGTACGTAAGTGAAAATACTTTAAAGTACTACTTAAGTCGTTTTTTGGGGATATCTGTACCTTCCTTTACTATTTATATTTTTGCCAACTTTTACTTTTACTTCATTACATTCCTAAAGAAAATAATATATTTTTACTCCATACATTTTCCCTGACACCCAAAAGTACCCGTTACATTTTGACAGGAAAATGGTTCAATTCACACACTCATCAAGAGAACATCCCTGTTCATCCCTACTGCCTCTAATCTGGCGGACTCACTAAACACAAATGCTTCATTTGTGAATTATGTCCGAGTGTTGGAGTGTGCCCCTGGCTATCCGTCAATAAAAAAAAACATATAAGGTCATATAAGGAATTTGAAATGGTTTATACTTTTACTTTTACTTTTGATACTTAAGTACATTTTAGCATTTTCATTTACTTATTATACTTAAGTATATTTAGAACCAATTACTTTTAGACTTTTACTCAAGTAGTATTTTACTGGGTGACTTTCACTTTTATTTGAGTCATTTTCTATTAAGGTTTCTTTACTTTTACCCAAGTATGACAATTGAGTACTTTTTCCACCACTGAGTGCAGGGCAACAAGGGCATGTTGGTGTATTTCAGTTGCTGTGGCATAGAGGAGCAAGACCGTTATACAAGTCCCTGTGTGTGTGGCTGAAAGTGAGTCAGAGAGCCAATCCAGGGCCATTAATTGAATATGTCATTTAGACTTTAGAACTGCATGTACCACGTTTTCACTTTAATCAAAGGGACCCTGCACTAGTTAATGGGTGTGAAAAGAATGTTCCAGTTGGGTTTGTCCATTTGATTTCTTTCTCATCTTTATGGTTCTCATTTGTTTGGTGGATTTGCTGGTTAAATGGCTTGTATCGTGTCAAACAGGATTTTTTCGCATGAGGAGAGGTGGGAACATTTCCCATTCTCTACGGGTGGGGGGAAGGTTTAATATTGTACCCGTATATAAAGGTATAGCAGGCGAGCCTAATATGTTACAGTATGTCACACAGTATATTTGAACATGCAGTATCTCCCGCCTCTCAAATCCCTGGAGTGACTTACACACCTCTTTAGTTTTATAATGACCATTGCAGTTCAGCATCAGCACACATGCACCACATCTGTTGTATGCTCTCACCTTGAGGGTGTAGCGTGGTCATAAGTAACCTTTAAAGATTAGTAGTAAAGACAATGAACCAAAGCTCATGCCTGTGGTTGGTTTCAAATATTGAATGGGAATTGCCCTGATTTGTGATACAAAACAAGGAAATAACATGAAAGGTTGACTTCCCTTTCACTTCACAAAGGGGCTTTTCGGCAATAAAATTATAACACGATTTTCAATATCAGATACAATATTTTGAAAAGGCTGCATGTATTCAGCCTCTGTAAGCTTCTTGGCATGCTGTGTTTGACCTCATACGGATACATAACCTTACATAGAGTCCTGATTTGTGTCCTCGTACAAAGTTATTTTTCTCCATGAACTGATTGTAAGCATGTGTCGTTTAGTGTACGTCTCACATTTTTATTCTGCTGATTGAGCTTTGATAAAATCCCTCCGTCTAGTCTAACAGAGATGGAAAAATGTCATCGCAGATAATCTCTTTCTGACTACAGGCTTTTCTAGACAGGAATCAGTCCCTCAATGTGATTCATTCTGCAGTTTGTTCCTTTCCTCAAATCCAGTTGCTGGAGAGAGAGGATTACAGTGGAAGGAAAAATCACTAAAGCCAGGCTTTATTGAATCCAATATCAACATGTTCTATGTGCTCAATATTTCAACATCCCTCCCAAGTGGGAAAGATAAAATATTTGGTGTTGTGTGCAGAAATACGTATATTTAAGGATTCTAAACATCCCATAAGCATCCTGTTATTTTCCAAGGCAATTATTCTTTCACAATAGATCAAATACCATTTTCCATTTTCCATTTCCCCAACCCCCTACTCAACTACCACCACTGTTTCTCTCTCTCCTCTGTAGATCCTATCAGAAGTCTGCCGATAGGTACGGTGGTGTCAGGAGAGCCCTAGCTAGGTCCATGCTTCTAACGCTGTGGTGTTTCACCATGGCCCCGGCACGTGCCTGGCTGCTGGGCCTGGCTCTGTCTCTACTCCTTCTGGGGTCCCAGACTGCTCCATCCCTATCCGGTGAGGAGGGGAAGCTGGTCCGGACCACCAGGGTCAGACGACAGGCCCCTCCAGGTGGCCCCACCAGCCCACCTAACAACCAGACCATCAAGGAGCAGCCCATGGTCTTCAACCATGTGTACAACATCAACGTTCCCTTGGAGTCTCTGTGCTCTGTGGATCTTGAATCAGCAGCGCCTCCACCCAGTCAGGCCTCCAGGGGAGCAGTGTCCAGTGGGGGTGGAGAGGGCCCCACAGAGTTCACAGAGCAGACAGTGGACGCAGACAGCCAGGTCACCTTCACCCACCGCATCAACATCCCCAAACAGGCCTGCGCCTGTCCCGCAGCCAACACCATGCAGCAGCTGGCCACCCGCATCGAGATGCTGGAGAGAGAGGTGTCGCTGCTCAGAGCCCAGTGCAGCTCTGGCAACTGTGGCTGTGAGGAGAGTTCAGCCATGGGTAAGTGGGGAATAATAGTACAGCTTGACAGTATTATTAGAGTTACTGTACCCTGGTCATAGGCTACTTTGAGGCCAATGTGGAATGTTAGGTTTTCACTTCATTCAGTTACTGAGCGTCTTGGTTCAAGTAGATAGCACCTGGATATAAAGCCTGGGGGTTTGCTATTTGTTATTTTATTAGGATCCTCATTAGCTGTTGCAAACGCAGCAGCTATTCTTCCTGGGGTCCACACAACACATAAAACATGACACAATACACAACAACAATAGACAAGAACAGCTCAAAGACAGAACTACATTAATTTTAAATAAGAATATAGAAATAAAAAAGGTCCTAATGACAGAATACTAAGACAGAGAGACCTATAATGTAGGCCTACATTCAGTAACACACAGCTCAGTTGGTAGAGCATGGCGCTTGCAATGCCAGGGTTGTAGGTTCGATTCCCACGGGGGGCCAGTATGAAAAAAAAATGTATGCCACTAACTGTAAGTCGCTCTGGATAAGAGCGTCTGCTAGAAATGTAAAATGTATGTCAATTTCATGCTTGCATACATACAGTTGAAGTCGGAAGTTTACATACACTTAGGTTGGAGTCATTAAAACTCGTTTTTCAACCACTCCACAAATTTCTTGTTAACAAACTATAGTTTTTGCCATTCGGTTAGGACATCTGCTTTGTGCATGACACAATTTTTTACAGACAGATTATTTCACTTATAATTCACTGTATCACAATTCCAGTGGGTCAGAAGTTTACATACACTAAGTTGACTGTGCCTTTAAACAGATTGGAAAATTCCAGAAAATGATGTCATGGCTTTAGAAGCTTCTGATAGGCTAATTTACATAATTTCAGTCAATTGGAGGTGTACCTGTGGATGTATTTCAAGGCCTACCTTCAAACTCAGTGCCTCTTTGCTTGACATCATGGGAACATCAAAAGAAATCAGCCAAGACCTCAGAAAAGAAATTGTAGACCTCCACAAGTCTGGTTCATCCTTGGAAGCAATTTCCAAACACCTGAAGGTACCACGTTAATCTGTACAAACAATAGTACGCAAGTATAAACACCATGGGACCACACAGCCGTCATACCACTCAGGAAGGAGACGCGTTCTGTCTCCTAGAGATCAACGTACTTTGGTGCGAAAAGCACAAATCAATCCCAGAACAACAGCAAAGGACCTTGTGAAGATGCTGGAGGAAACCGGTACAAAAGTATCTATAGTCACAGTAAAACGAGTCCTATATCGACATAACCTGAAAGGCCGATCAGCAAGGAAGAAGCCACTTCTCCAAAACCGTCATAAAAAAGCCAGACTACAGTTTGCAACTGCACATGGGGACAAAGATCGTACTTTTTGGAGAAATGTCCTCTGGTCTAATGAAACAAAAATAGAACTGTTTGGCCATAATGACCATCGTTATGTTTGGAGGAAAAAGGGGGTTCCTTGCAAGCCGAAGAACACCATCCCAACCGTGAAGCACAGGGGTGGTAGTATCATGCTGTGGAGGTGCTTTGCTGCAGGAGGGCCTGGTGCACTTCACAAAATAGATGGCATCATGAGGAAGGAAAATTATGTGGATATATTGAAGCAACATCTCAAGACATCATTCTGGAAGTTAAAGCTTGGTCGCAAATGGGTCTTCCAAATGGACAATGTCCCCAAGCATACTTCCAAAGTTGTGGCAAAATGGCTTAAGGACAACAAAGTCAAGGTATTGGAGTGGCCATCACAAAGCCTTGACCTCAAGCCTATAGAAAATGTGTGGGCAGACCTGAAAAATCGTGTGCGAGCAAGGAGGCCTACAATCCTGACTCAGTTACACCAGCTCTGTCAGGAGGAATGGGCCAAAATTCACCCAACTTATTGTGGGAAGCTTATGGAAGGCTACCCGAAATGTTTGACCCAAGTTAAACAATTTGAAGGCAATGCTACCAAATACTAATTGAGTGTATGTAAACTTCTGTACCCACTGGGAATGTGATGAAAGAAATAAAAGCTGAAAGAAATAAATGTCTCTACAATTATTCTGACATTTCACATTCTTAAAATAAAGTGGTGATCCTAACTGACCTAAGACAGGGAATTTGTACTAGGATTAAATGTCAGGAATTGTGAAAAACTGAGTATAAATGTATTTGGCTAAGGTGTATGTAAACTTCCGACTTAAACTTTACTTATCGGTTGACATAGGCTATACATACAAGTTATTTAGGTCAGATAGGGGAGGGGCGTCATGCAGTGAGGTGTTGTTAAAATAAAAAATGAATTTAAAAAAGTAAGCAAATTTGGCTGTTTGCTTGGGTAATTTGAAATGGGAGTTCCATGTAACCATGACTCTATAAAATATTGTGTGTTGCCTTAAATTTGTTTTGGACTTGGAGACTTTGAAGAGACCCCTGGTGGCATGTCTGGTTGGGTAAGTATGTCTGTCAGAGCTATATGTAAGTTGATTATACGGACAATTTTGAATTTTGAATACAGTAATATTTAATTCAAGATGGAGTTGAATTAGTCTTTGTCCCCATAATGTCCTTTAAAGTACTCCAAAGCTTTTATCCATCAAACTTTATATAATCTATCTCAATTTCATAATACCATTTTTGTTCAGTTTAGTCACATAATTTCTAAATTTACAATATGTCTGCTAATCAGATGTGCAGCCTGACGTATTTTCCACTCCCTTTGCCTCATTTCTCTCAACCATACAGTTTTTAAATTCCTCATCTATCCAGGGGACCTTAACAGTTAACAGTCACCCTGCAAACAATAATGAGTTGTTAGGACGTTCCTGGGACGTCACAAAATGGTAACCTAAAGTCATCAGAACGTTGTGTCATGGTCCCCTGAAGTTTTTGTCTAGTTCTTTATTGGTCCTGGGGACATCCCCGAGGAAGTTCTTAGGATTTTCATAGGTTGTTGTGTCATGGTCCCCTGAAGGTTCTTGGGACGTTGTGTCATGGTCCCCTGGAGGTTTTGTCTAGTTCTCGGTTTGTCACGGGGAAATTTTTGGGACGTTGTGTCATGGTCCCCTGGAGGTTTTGTCTAATTCCCGGTTTGTCCTGGGGACGTCCTCGATTACATTTTTAGGACTTTCTTGGGATGTTGTGTCATGGTCTCCTGAATATTCTTAGGACGTTGTGTCATGGTCCCCTGGATATTTTTGTCTATTTCCCGGTTTGTCCTGGTCGTCACCTGATGGTCGCAAAGCAACATTCTCCGGTTGGTCCCGGGAAAGTTTTTAGGATGTTGTGCCATGGTCCCCTGCAGGTTTTGTCTCATTCCCGGTTGGTCCTGGGGATGTCCTCAAGGACGTTATTAGGACTTTCTTGGGATGTTGTGTCATGGTCCCCTGGATGTTTTTGTCTAGTTCCCGGTTTGTCCCAGTTACGTCACCTGATGGTCGCAAAGAAAGGTTATCCGGTTGGTCCCGTGGACGTTTTTAGGACGTTGTGCCATGGTCCCCTGGAGGTTTTGTCTAGTTCCCGGTTTGTCTCCGAGGACATTTTTAGGACTTTCTTGGGATGTTGTGTCATGGTCCCCTGAACGTTCTTGGGATGTTGTGTCATGGTCCCCTGGATGTTTTTGTCTAGTTCCCGATTTGTCCAGAGACGTCACCTGATGGTCGCAAATAAATGTTCTCCCCTACAAAAATGTTTTACCCAGGGCACACACATCCTAGTTTCAGTACACATCACCCCTTTTGGAAATTATTGTTACCACACACAAACAGTGCTTTCAACTTACATACTTGACACAGATGATTACATTGTGTATGTTTATTCATACAATAATTATTATTTAACATGTCCTCACCTGGGATTTGAAGTCACAACATCTTGGTTCTCGGGCAAACCAATCTTCCTGCTATGCCACCATGTCTGTATCAATGTCTGATTTCACCTGTAGGCCTATTCCTACACTTTGCACTTCAAAGTAAATCTCAGCTTAAATATACACTGAAGAAAAACAATTATATTTATCATAATGATTCAGGAGTAACACTATACCAGAATATTATGCCAGACCAACATTAGACAAGTATACTGAAAACCCAAACTCAAATTGCTGAAATAAGTAAATAAAATCAATGAGAGAATAATCATATTACCTGATCATGTAAAATAATAGCTAACATAATAAAACGATAGCTAAAATAATATGATAATTGCTAAATGCAGAGATGTATTATAGGTAATGAAAGTGTAGGGGAAATTCTACATACCTTGTGGCGCAGCAGAAATATCATCTTCCCCTGTCTTTTCAATATGAATCCCAGGTGGGGTCATATTGAAAAGTCAGTATTAAGTGATCATGTCAAATGTTGTCATTGATGAAATGGTTTGGGACACCTGGGACCATCACATGACAGAAACCTCCAGGGGACCATGACACAATGTCCCAAGAATACTCAGGGGACCTTCGGGGGACCATGACACATCGTCCAAAGAACATCCTAAAAATATCTTCAGGGATGTCCCCGGGACAACCGGGAACTAGACAAAAACCTCCAGGGGACTATGTCAATGTCCAAACAACATCCTAAACATGTCCTCGGGGACGTCCCCGGAACAAACCGGGAACTAGAAAAATCCACAAGAATGTTCAGGGGACCTTCAGGGGACCATGACACAACGTCACAAGAACATCTTAAAAATGTCCCCGGGACAAACCGGGAACTATACCAATGTTCCCTTGGGACCATCACATGGGACTATCAAGTTCATCCTAAGGACTAGTACAATGAAAGTCCTGAGAACGTCCTAAAAAGGTCCTGACATAGTCCTGACAGGGTCTTCAGTGACATCCTGGTAACTTACAGGGCACTACACAAAGGTCCCCTAGAGAACATTCCCTTTGGACCATCACACGATGTCCTAAGGACAAGTAAAATGAAAGTAATGAGAACATCCTAAAAAGGTCCTGACATGGTCCTGACATTGTCCTCAGCACTGTCCTTGGAATGTAAAGGGAACTAGACAAAGGTCCCCCAGAGAGCATTCCCTTGGTGTTCTCAGAACATCAGTGGGATAACGTCGCACCAAAACCCTTAAGGGACCTTATGGGAGCGTCGCCGAAAGTCCTCAGGACATCCCCTGTTTGCTGGGTAGTTTCTTAATAGGTGCATGCTTATTGATAACTGGAAGAAACCATTTCATAAATGCATCAAGTGCACATCAACAAAAAAACGAATCAGACCAACAAACCTTTTTTACATCTTCAACATAGGAATCACTACATAACCCTTTGTCTGATCTCTTATACACTATTTTAGGCCCAGCCTTTGGAACATTGGCTTTTCTGGATATAGCCACTATATTATGATCACTACATCCAATGGGTGTGGACACAGCTTGAGAACAAAGTTATACAGCGTTTCTAAGGTTCATAGGTTTATTTTACACTGTTACACTGTTACATTGTTTTACAATGTACACTGTTACAACATATGATGTTAGCATTAGTAAACCATACAGCATATTTAGTGATGTGATTTTGTGTCCTTCTTTCTTCCTCTAGGTCGCCTGGACTTCATCCCCCAGTGCAGTGGCCACGGCAGCTTCAACATGGACCTGTGTGGCTGTGTGTGTGAGGACGACTGGAAGGGCAAGAACTGCTCTGAGCCTCGCTGCCCAGACGACTGCTCTGGACAGGGAGTGTGTATGGAGGGCGAGTGTGTCTGTGACCGTGACTTCGGAGGGGACAACTGCTCGGAGCCCCGCTGCCCGGCGGACTGCTCCGGTCGAGGGCTGTGCATGGACGGGGAGTGTATCTGTGAGGAGAACTTCACTGGAGAGGACTGTACGCTGGGTCGCTGCCTCAACGACTGCTCTGATCAGGGTCTGTGCACCAACGGGACCTGCCAGTGTCGCCCGGGATACGTGGGAGAAGACTGCTCTCTGGCCTACTGTGCCAACAACTGCAGTCAGAACGGCATCTGTAAGGAGGGCTTCTGTACCTGCCAAGAGGGCTTCACTGGAGACGACTGCTCTTTAGGTGAGAGAAAGGGAACAACAGGAAAACATACAGTAGCTCCTCTGAGAGATATTTATTTACCTTGATACTTTTTGCCATTGTAGTTTCCAAGAGTGGATATATGGGTGGATATTTGGTTATATGAGACAAGCTTTGGCCTAACATGCTGACTAGACCGGGCACGCACGTGCGTCCGCATGCGCCATCGAGCGCATGTTGATTTTGTCCACCCACACCAGACGCGATCAGGACACGCAGGTTGAAATATCAAAACTAACTCTGAACCAAGTATATTAATTTGGTGACAGGTCGAAACGCATGATACATTCATGGCCATTTAGGTAGCTAGCTTGCTCTTCTTAGCTAATTTGTCCTGGGATATAAACATTGGGTTGTTATTTTACATGAAATGCACATGGTCCTCTACTCCGACTATTTATCCACAGATAAAAGAGTAAACCTAGTTAGTTTCTAGTAATCTCTCCTCCTTCAGTCTTCTTCTTCTTCTTCTTCTTCTTCTTCTTCTTCTTCTTTTTCTTCTTCTTTGGACTTTATGTGGTTGGTTGGCAACCAACTTTAAGGTGCATTACCACCACCAACTGGACTGGAGTGTGGACCTTAGTTCAGCTTTCAATCACCCACGTGGGTATATGCTCCTAAAACAATGAGGAGATGGGAGAGGCGGGACTTGCAGCGCGTCAAGCGTCAAAAATAGAACCAAGTTCTATTTTAGCGCCTGGCTACGCAGACGCTCGTTGACGTGCACGAGCAGTTTGGATGAAAAGATTGAACAACATGTATGTATACATTTATTTTGCAATGCTCCCGCGTGGTGTGGTCAGCATGCAAGGTGTGGTCAGCATGTAAGGCTCTGCATCCCATCATATATAGAGAAAGTGAATATTCACAGAGGTTATGGTAAGAAGTGGTCTCAGTCTCCAATTGGTTCTTTGGGGATATCTAAGCCTGCATATCTGCCAAATATTTCCAAGAATGGTGTTTTTCCAGATAATTGAAATAGTCTCCTTGTAATAGCATCTGAATCCACAGATCTTGCCCTGCAAAACAGGAGTCAAACACCTCTTGCAGCCCTTATGTGCTTCAAATAGTAGCTATAAAATTGGTGACGGCTTGTTGTGTAACAGCATTCATTTGTCAAAAGTCACATTCACTGTGTCACATTAACCGAAGCTGAGGCAATATCTGAATCACACTAGCCTGGATTAACAGCTAGTTCTCAGAAAAATGCTTCTGATTCCCACTGGCGTAACACAGTTTCTCCCCCACACCCACCCCTCCCCTCCTCCATCCCAGTGCGCCAGTGCTGATTTCACCTACTGCCGTAGACATCAGTCATCTCACTGGAGAAAGGAAAAAAGAGCCTATACTACCTATACTCTATACCTCGCTCCCTCTCATTATCAGCAGGACCTGTTGGAGCTAAAATTGCTTCTTTCTTTGCAATTAGAGGTAAAATAGCAGAGGCGCGTTTGGGTGAGGTTGCGAAATGCAAAAAGAGGCCATTCAATTACCAGCGCTTATTCAGGACTCATAGGGTGGCAGGCATTGTAAGTGTTTCATATTATCAAAGTAGAAAAATCAGGATATGCTTTTGTGGCCCCATTTTCTCCTGCGATGAGAATAATGAGACTATGGAATTTAAATGAGGCATTTGGCGAGGTGAAAATGTAAAAACAAAGCAGCTGCATTCACATGATGAGTTTACCTATTATAGAATCTTAACTGCCTTAACATCACCATCATTCAAAATGCTAGTCATTATGACTCCACCACTTTGGTAAAACGTCTCACATTGGAAAATGATTATGCATGACTAAAAGGTTTTTACAATTGTTTTTATCCCCCCCCAAAAAAATATATATATATACCTAATGCAAATGGTTTGAAGTTTGTGCCAGAGAAATACTGTACAGGAGCTCTCACTAGTAGTCAGGTGGTTGCATGTGAGCCTGTCAATCCTGTCACCTCCTCTTGTTAACAGAGTTGTTCACTGACTGGCAGCCATTTTCAGCCAGAGAGAACACATCAATGACCTTGCCTTTCCAGAATGCCCCACAGAAATAGAACCAACAATTTTGACTTCAAACATTCTTTGACAAAGCCTACACTTTCATACAGTAACTCAGCTGCATTAAATAGACAATTGATTTTTCTACTCAGTCTTCATGACACCTGCATTTTGTATCACCCTTTTCCATTATTCTTCAACTGAACTGAGTGATGGAAGAGAATATTAATTTTGAATCGATAGCTCAATCCACCAGAAGTAGAAGTAGCTCTGCTTAGCCTCCTCCAGGAGCCATACCACTTCAAATCAAATCAAATCAAATCAAATTTTATTGGTCACATGCGCCGAATACAACAGGTGCAGACATTACAGTGAAATGCTTACTTACAGCCCTTAACCAACAGTGCATTTATTTTAAACAAAAAAAGTAAGAATAAAACAACAACAAAAAAAGTGTTGAGAAAAAAAGAGCAGAAGTAAAATAAAGTGACAGTAGGGAGGCTATATATACAGGGGGGTACCGTTGCAGAGTCAATGTGCGGGGGCACCGGCTAGTTGAGGTAGTTGAGGTAATATGTACATGTGGGTAGAGTTAAAGTGACTATGCATAAATACTTAACAGAGTAGCAGCAGCGTAAAAAGGATGGAGTGGGGGGGCAGTGCAAATAGTCCGGGTAGCCATGATTAGCTGTTCAGGAGTCTTATGGCTTGGGGGAAGAAGCTGTTGAGAAGTATTTTGGACCTAGACTTGGCACTCCGGTACCGCTTGCCGTGCGGTAGCAGAGAGAACAGTCTATGACTAGGGTGGCTGGAGTCTTTGACAATTTTGAGGGCCTTCCTCTGACACCGCCTGGTATAGAGGTCCTGGATGGCAGGAAGCTTTGCCCCAGTGATGTACTGGGCCGTACGCACTACCCTCTGTAGTGCCTTGCGGTCAGAGGCCAAGCAGTTGCCATACCAGGCGGTGATGCAACCAGTCAGGATGCTCTCGATGGTGCAGCTGTAGAATTTTTTGAGGATCTGAGGACCCATGCCAAATCTTTTTAGTCTCCTGAGGGGGAATAGGCTTTGTCGTGCCCTCTTCACGACTGTCTTGGTGTGTTTGGACCATGATAGTTCGTTGGTGATGTGGACACCAAGGAACTTGAAGCTCTCAACCTGTTCCACTACAGCCCTGTCGATGAGAATGGGGGCGTGCTCAGTCCTCTTTTTTTTCCTGTAGTCCACAATCATCTCCTTTGTCTTGGTCACGTTGAGGGAGAGGTTGTTGTCCTGGCACCACACGGCCAGATCTCTGACCTCCTCCCTATAGGCTGTCTCATCGTTGTCGGTGATCAGGCCTACCACTGTTGTGTCGTCGGCAAACTTAATGATGGTGTTGGAGTCGTGCCTGGCCATGCAGTCATGGGTGAACAGAGAGTACAGGAGGGGACTGAGCACGCACCCCTGAGGGGCCCCCGTGTTGAGGATCAGTGTGGCAGATGTGTTGTTACCTACCCTTACCACCTGGGGGCGGCCCGTCAGGAAGTCCAGGAACCAGTTGCAGAGGGAGGTGTTTAGTCCCAGGATCCTTAGCTTAGTGATGAGCTTAGAGGGCACTATGGTGTTGAATGCTGAGCTGTAGTCAATGAATAGCATTCTCACGTAGGTGTTCCTCTTGTCCAGGTGGGAAAGGGCAGTGTGGAGTGCAATAGAGATTGCATCATCTGTGGATCTGTTGGGGCGGTATGCAAATTGGAGTGGGTCTAGGGTTTCTGGGATTATGCTGTTGATGTGAGCCATGACCAGTCTTTCAAAGCACTTCATGGCTACAGACGTCAGTGCTACGGGTCGGTAGTCATTTAGGCAGGTTATCTTAGAGTTCTTGGGCACGGGGACTATGGTGGTCTGCTTGAAACATGTTGGTATTACAGACTCAGTCAGGGACATGTTGAAAATGTCAGTGAAGACACTTGCCAGTTGGTCAGCACATGCTCGGAGTACACGTCCTGGTAATCCGTCTGGCCCTGCGGCCTTGTGAATGTTGACCTGCTTAAAAGTCTTACTCACATCGGCTACGGAGAGCGTGATCACATAGTCATCCGGAACAGCTGGTGCTCTCATGCATGCTTCAGTGTTGCTTGCCTCGAAGCGAGCATAGAAGTGGTTTAGCTCGTCTGGTAGGCTTGTGTCACTGGGCAGCTCGCGGCTGTGCTTCCCTTTGTAGTCTGTAATAGTTTTCAAGCCCTGCCACATCCGACGAGCGTCAGAGCCAGTGTAGTATGATTTAATCTTAGACCTGTATTGACTCTTTGCCTGTTTGATGGTTCGTCGGAGGTCATAGCGGGATTTCTTATAAGCGTCCGGGTTAGAGTCCCGTTCCTTGAAAGCGGCAGCTCTACCCTTTAGCTCAGTGCGGATGTTTCCTGTAATCCATGGCTTCTGGTTGGGGTATGTACGTACGGTCACTGTGGGGACGACATCATCGATGCACTTATTGATGAAGCCAGTGACTGATGTGGTGTACTCCTCAATGCTGTCTGAAGAATCCCGGAACATGTTCCAGTCTGTGCTAGCAAAACAGTCCTGTAGCTTAGCATCTGCGTCATCTGACCACTTTTTTTTAAACTGAATCACTGGTGCTTCTGCTTCAGTTTTTGCTTATAAGCAGGAATCAGGAGGATAGAGTTATGGTCAGATTTGCCAAATGGAGGGCGAGGGAGAGCTTTGTATGCGTCTCTGTGTGTGGAGTAAAGGTGGTCTAGAGATTTTTTTCCCTCTGGTTGCACATTTAACATGCTGGTAGAAATTAGGTAGAACGGATTTAAGTTTCCCTGCATTAAAGTCCCCGGCCACTAGGAGCGCTGCATCTGGATGAGCGTTTTCCTGTTGATTAATGGCCTTGTACAACTCATTCAGTGCAATCTTAATGCCAGCATTGGTTTGTGGTGGTAAATAGACAGCTATGAAAAATATAGATGAAAACTCTCTTGGTAAATAGTGTGGTCTACAGCTTATCATAAGATACTCTACCTCAGGCGAGCAAAACCTCGAGACTTCCTTAGTATTTGATTTTGT